CCCGGCTATTTTTTGGTTGCAGCCGTCATTGTTGTTTGGCGGGTCCCGGCTGGGGATTCGAACCTGCCACCTTAGGTGTACGTGGCTGGCGTCTTAGCCGGTTGAGCTATAGGCGCCAAGCCGGCATGTCTTTTTCTATGCTACCTTTGCAGTCTTATAGTCTCCTGGTCCCTGGTGTACCCCTCCTCAGCCCTGCTCCCTGGCTTACCCACCACCTTCCCTTTCCACAGAGCTCGTCCGTATGGTGCTGAATGGCTGAAGACACTATACCCAATATCCCCAGAGCCCGTGCCTTTTCCTGTGTGAGACTGTTTATCTAGCCTGAAGGTGTCCTAGGCTCTCTGGTCACAGCACCTTTCCCACCTTGTCTCTTTGGGATGATGTTTGCCATCAGCATTCACCAAATAAACTTGTTCTCTGTGCCCCTAATTTGATTCTACTTTCCTTTCTGACCCAGGGTAAAGGGGAAATTGGTAAGACGGTGAGGATTTCTGGCCTAAGGGGGAAACCAAGGTCAGCGGATCGAGGGAAGCTAGAGAAAAGTCTGTAGTGGCATGCCCCCCCCCATTAGTTCATGCTATAAAAGCTATCCCTTGGGGAATTAGGAAAGCCATAAATTCCTGTAGGACCAAGGCTGGCTACCCTTGTTCCATCCCATATCAGACTAAGTCTTCTCGTAGTCCTCTAGCTCCTTAAACTCAGCCCCTACCATCCCAACCACTTAATAAGGCCTTTAGTGGGGAGGCCTGAGGAGTGTTTATTGGCCCTAATGCCAGGTTGTATTAGTGCTGCCTGAGTCTGTCTGCCACTTTGGCAGGACTTTGCCCAGCCCTTCCTTTGAAGGAGCCAATCATAACAGAAGTAGGAGAGGGCCCTGCTTCTTCCCTAATAAGGGAAGGAGTAAAGCCACTATTAAAGAAAGGATAAAGATACAAAATCTCCACATTGTGTGCATGCTCTAAGTCTGAACCAGCTATTTTTAGGGCAGATGAGAGCTGCTGCTGTTATACTAGAACAGCCCTGACAGTTGTGCTGCCTTCAGCCTTTTGTGGTGAGGTGCAGTCTATCCCTGGCTTGCAAAGTGCCTCCAGCCCAGATAGATGCCCCATCCCATCCCAGCCCCCTGGCCTGACAGCCACAGGTAAGAGAACACAGAAGGCATCCACAAGATGGAACTGAAAGCAAATTAATTTATAAAAAAAAAAAAAAAGAAAGAAAAAGAAAAGAAAATTTACAGAAAACTTTGAACAGAAGAAACGTGCCAAGACGCAGAGGAAGAGAAACACGGGAACAAGAGGAACAAAGGCCTGGTGGGAGGGATGGGAAGAGGCATAGAGCCTGGAATCACATCTGCCTTCTCATCAAGGTGAGGAGAAGAGCTGAAATGGGGAGGCGTAGGTCCAAGGAGCAGAGCCAAACTGAGCTGCAGGTTGGGTACCCGCTACTGTTCTCAAATCCCTGTGTCCTCCTCCAGGGAGCCCCTAGTTATCAGCTGAGATTCTAATTGTCTTGGTGGGAGAGGGACGAGGCTACGGGGTGACCCACTGAGTCATAAGGAGGTGCTTAAGTGCTTTGTGAAAATTTCAGGTTTTTAAAACTTCCCATCCTTTTACAGCTCCCCTTTCTGTGCCTTCTAGGAGTCTACTGATACTGCCCAGGGAAGGGAGAAGAATAGCCCCTACTCCTACCACAGGAATCTCCAAAGATAGGTTTTTCCCACCAAATACACATACACTGACATCAACTAAGCAGGTGACTTTTAAGAACAAAACTGACAGAGGGAAAGGGATCACTGGCTGAGCTGGCATGGCCTATAAGAGCAATGAGGAGGAAGCAGTGGGAGAGATTATACGAATAACTGGGGGTGAGGCTAGTGGGGGTTTGACTGCATCACTAACAAGCAGCTTGGGGAGACAATCCCCAGAATTCTCCCCAAAACCTTAATTCCCCTTTCCTAAAACTGTCACACACACCCCATCTCAGCAAAATGTAAGTTGGTTATTTTTTAGGTTAAAGGGAGCTCCAATGTGGCTTTTAAAAATTTCTCTACTGCCTTTAAGGACTTAATTTTTTTTATCCATAGAAAATGTAGTAGTTTTCAGGGGGGTGCACCCTTAGAAGTGGTTAATCGAATCTTGTATAAACATCTTTGCCCAGCCCTTCCTTTGAGGACAGCATTCCCATCCTATCCTCCCCCCCCCATTAGAAACATCTTTTAAACAGAAGTCCTTGAATAATCCAATATAAAAACGCATGCCTCTTTTAGGCATGGTGGGGGCTCTGGAGGGGCAGAAGGAGCTTTCCTTACGTAGTGATGAACTCTCCAGGCTGGGGAAGGGTCCCAGTGGTGGGGGGAGGGCTGTTCCTGGAACCGTGATCTCCATAGGGGATGAGGGGGAGAGATGTCTGGCTGGCTCCTCACTGTGGAGGAGGCACAGGGGTGACCGTGCCTGGGCTTGGGGCCGTGGGGTCTGGAGGCAGGGGGGTGCCCGGGTCTGTGGAGAAAAGGAAGATGAATCAGTTGAGGTGAGCAGGAGAGAGGGATCCTGACCAAGGCCACCAAGACACAGAACCGGGCATGGCATGCAGTGGGTGGGTAGATGAATGAGGTACCCACAACGTACAACTTCCTTCTCCCAATACCTTCTTGCACCTCACACTGGAAAAAACAGACCCCAAATCATCCTCCTGCCTCCAATGGAACTCTCTAAATGGGGCACTTGAACGTGTTGGGAACAAGCAAAGGGATGCCAGTCATCATGCAAACAAGTGTCTGTTTCTCAAGTTTACAACTGAGATGCTCTGTGCACAGGACTCCTCCGTGACCCACCAGTGAAAGGCCCCAACATCATCCCAAAGGTGGCAGCTGCCAAGGTGGGAAATGGTGGAGGACAGCCAGAGAGGCCCTTCCTCCTGTGTTCTAATTATACCAGAGTATTCAAGAAGGATTGTGGAAACTCTAGCATCTGACCCCTTCCTCCCCAGACCCCTCCCTCCAGGTGGACCCCACTCCCTCACCCTTCTCCCCTCCTAGCCCCTTCTCACCTGGCAGTGGGCTGGCACTGGGCAGGAGGTTGCCCTGAACAGCTGCCACAATGGCAGGGCTCTGGGCTGCGGCGGATCCGAGCCCCGGCCCGAGAGGCAAGGAAGATGGCATGGTGGTGGTCGCCGGCAGGTTAGGATGTAGAGGGTTCGCCATGGACACAGGCAGGTTAGGTGGGGGGAGAGTGCCCGAGGCGAACGGGAGATGGTGGTGATGCCCATGCAGGTTAGGAGGAGGGGGTAGGTTAATACTGATGGAGTCGGCTAGACTACCAAATGGGATGATGGATGGAGCAGGAGGAGGAGGAGGAGGTGGCATGCCAAAAGGCAAACCCAAAGGAGCATTACCCGCCACGCCTGGGTGCCCGCTGCCTGGCACTGCCCCTGGCATCATTGAGGGAGGAGTTTGTTGGTTGGGGAACGGTGAGGGGCCTAAGAAGAAAGAGGGGAGATGGAGGTTAGAGGTAAAATCTCACCAACTCACTTCCACAGGAGGATAATCTAGCCACTTCTTGGCACTACCTTCCCTTTTCCTGATGGAGTAAACTATAAATCCTGGAACAAAATTCTAAAGGTCTGGGTTTGGGGGGGGGGGGGTGAATCCTGCTGCCTTGGAGACATAACAGAGATAGGCCCCTCTATTGAAACTAAGGCTAATCCTCATTTCCAGGCCCATAATGTAATCTTTTTGAGAACTGGGACTTTCACCTGGTTCCCTCTAGCCAGCAAGAGTTCTGGAACTTATCACTTACCATGGGGTCCAGGGGGGGGTACCCCTGGTGGGACTGTCCCCGGCTGGGGGGCTCCAACTGGTTGCTGCTGCTGTGGCCCTGCAGTTGACCCTGCCTGCCCAATCTGTTCAGAAGGGCCCAAGCTTCCAGGAGGGGCCCCACTGCCAGCAGGAGCAGGGACCACAGAGGCTGGAGCCACAGCCAAGCCATGGACTGCAGGTGGCCCAGCAGCTCCTGTGGAGGGGATAGGCTGGGTGCCTGGGGGCAGGGTTGGTGGTGGCTGCTGCTGCTGCTGGTGCATCTGTTGGAAGTGCTGTTGCCGGGCCCTCATCTCTGCATACTTCAGCTGTTCCATGTGAAAGGCCTGTCTGTCAGCCAGGAGCTGCTGCCTCTGATACTCCAGCTGCCAGTGCCAATTGAGTATTGTTATCCGATTTTCAGAAGATTCCAAAGGCAAATGCCTTGCCCCCGCTTTGTCTTCTGAAAGATCCATCCTTTCATTCAGCTGGTTCCCAAAATCTAAATCTTGTGCTTGTGATTCCTTTATCTTCCCCACCCTCCTGTGAACTCCCATGATCTTCATGTCTCCTGGCTGCCCCCATGGTTTCTCATTGCAATGAAGTTACTCTGGTGGTAGGGTAGCCCCAGCTCATATCAGCTCCAAAGCTTTGAACTTGCCATTACTTTGTTTTGGAAAATGCTTCCAGTGTTTCTTATCAATCCAAGTTCTTTTCTTTCTTTAAAATTGGCTAACAACTCACATTTCTTAGGAAGCTACCTCAGATCAATTCACTAGCCTCTGAGCTTTGGCTTTATGCCGTAATCTCTCAAAAGACTCAAAGACACTTGATTTGAAATTTCTTAATTTGAATTTGTCAGAGACTTTAAGCATCGTGTTTCTGATCTTCGTATTATACATTTGATGTCTCCAATTAAATTGTAAGTTCTCTAGGGCAGGCTTCATCTATTTCTTTTCATTTTATTTTATTATCATTATTTTTTTGAGATACAGGCTTACTCTTTTGGCTGAGTAGAGTGCCATGCCATCATCATAGCTCAAAGCAACCTCAAACTCTTGGGCTTAATTAAGAGATCCTCTTGCTGGCGGCGCCTATAGCTCAACCGGCTAAGGCGCCAGCCATGTACACCTAAGGTGGTGGGTTCGAATCCCCAGCCCGGACCCGCCAAACCACAATGACGGCTGCAACCAAAAAATAGCCAGGCGTTGTGGCGGGCGCCTGTGGTCCCAGCTACTTGGGAGGCGGAGGCAGGAGACTCACTGGAGCCCAGGAGTTGGAGGTTGCTGTGAGCTGTAATGCCACGGCACTCTACCCAGGGGGACAGCTTGAGGCTCTGTCTCAAAAAAAGAGATCCTCTTGCTTCAGTTTCCTGAGTAGCTGGGACTACAGAGGGTCATAGCGCCGGGCTAATTTTATTTTTAGTAGAGATGGGGTCACTTGCCGAGGCTGGTCTTGAACTCCTAAGCTCAAGCAATCCTACTGCCTCGGCCTCCCCAAATGCTGAGATTACAGGCATGAGCCACTGTGCCCAGCTAAATATTTTTTTATGTCCTCTCAAACACAAAATAGTGCAATCCTTGTCTGTCTCATGCCCTTTCCAAGTTCTGAGGCCCTTAACTTCTGATCACCCCTTAAACGCATTCAATCACTAAACAAATATTTATTGAGAGTACTGTGAGCCCAGCACTGCTCCTAGGACCTCACCATCTAGGCGTCACTTGTCAGGTGGCCGGTCCTTAACCGCCTGGGGCAGCTCACCCTGCCCTGGCCTGCCCCGCTCTGCCCTGCTCTGCTCTGGAGCCTTGCCAGTCCCTGGCTTTCTGCACTGTTGTTTCTTTCTCTCTCTCTCTCTCACACACACACACACATAGACTCCTCCAATTTTAGTGGAAGCACAGCTAGGTCTCAGGCGGGGCTCTGGACTCCTGCTGCCTCCCAAGGGGGTGGCTACTCACTGCTTCTCGCTCCCGGTCCATGATAGTCTCCAGTTCCTCAAAGTGCCGGAGTTTGATCTCCAACTTTTTCATCTGGGTCTCCACCAGCAAGGCCACCAAAGATTTGATCTTCCTCTCTTCAACAGCAGCCAAGTGCTAGGGAAGGGGAGGTGGGACAGAATGTCAGTGGCAAGAGGATCACCTAAAGCCCAAGAGCTGGAGGTTGCTGTGAGCTGTGATGCCACTGCACCCTACCAAGGGCAACAAAGTGAGACTCTGTCTCTTAAAAAAAAAAAAAAAGAAAAAATTAGCTATGATTACAACCCTGGAGTACAGGCTTCCTAATTTTTTTTTTTTTTTAAGAGTGCTGTGGCCTCATAGCTCACAGCAACCTCAAAGTCTTGGGCTCAAGCGATCCTCTTGCCTCAGCCTCCCAAGTATCTGGGACTATAGGCACCCACCACAACGCCCAGCTACTGGTTTTTTTTTTTTTTTTGCAGCTTTTGGCCGGGGCCAGGTTTGAACCCGCTACCTCCGGTATATGGGGCCAGCGCCCTACTCCTTTGAGCCATAGGCGCTGCCAAACACCCGGCTACTTTTAGAGATGAGGTCCTGTTTGAGCTCAAGCTGGTCTTTTTTTTTTTTTTTTTGAGATAGAGCCTCTAGCTGTTGCCTGGTAAAGTGCCATGGCATCACGGAAACTCCAAATTGGAGGTTCTTTTGGAGCTCACAGGAACCTCCAAATTCTGGGCTCAAGTGATTTTCCTGCCTCCACCTCCCAAGTAGCTGGGACTACAGGTGCCCACCACAATACCCAGCTATTTTTTGGTTGCAGCCATCGTTGTTGTTTGGTGGGCTCAGGCTGGATTCAAACCTGCCAGCTCAGGTGTATATGGCTGGTGCCTTAGCTGCTTGAGCCACAGGTGCTGAGCCCTCAGGCAATCCACCTGCTTTAGCCTCCCAGAGTGCTGGGATTACAGGCATGAACCACTGCACCTAGTCCAGACTTGACTTTTTTTTTTTTTTAAGAGACAACAGTCTCACTTTCTTGCCCTCAGTAGAGCTGTGGCATCACAGCTCACAGCAACCTCTAGCTCTTGGGCTTTAGGAGATTCTCTTGCCTCAGCCTCCCAAGTAGCTGGGACTACAGGCGCCTGCTGCAACGCCTGGATATTTTTTGTTGCAGTTTGGCCGGGGCCAGGCTTGAACCCGCCACCCTTGGTATATGGGGCCAGTGCTCCACTCACTGAGCCACAGGCACCACCTCAGACTTGACATTTTTAAAAGAACATGAAGAGAGAATGGCAAAAAAAAAGATAGAGTCAAATAATAACAGGGCTAGAAACAGGCCCAATGGTAAAAAGTTTTAAAAACTTAGCAATGACTAACTCTTCTCAGGATAAAAAGAAAACAGGCCAGCATTATTTCTCAAGTAAGGAAGGATTTCTTTTAAGTGAAATAAGATTACAGAAAGGGCATCTTCCTCCCTAAGGTTTCTGGGATCTGGCCTCACCTTGGCCTTCACTGCGGCAGCAGCCAGGGCAGCAGCAGCAGCAGTGGAGAGGTTGCCCTCGCCAATGTCCCGCTCCACCTTTGTCTTCCTTTCCCCCTCCGACTCCACCACTTCCTTCAGCACTTCCTCCTGCCCTTCCTTTGGCTCCTTCTCCTTCTCGGGATCCACTGGACCAGGATAAGGGTTGAGTTAGTCCTGTAGTGTCACCTTTCTTTCTAGTACCCCTGTCTATCATTCTGGGAGGCTCACCTATTGGGTCCCCATCACTCTTCTCTGACTCCTTCTCGCTGTCGCCTTCCTTCCCTTTCTCTTCGTCCTTCTTGGGAGCCTCACTGGCTTTCTCTTTTGTTTCCTCCTCTATAGTTCCCCCTCCTTCCCGGGGTTCCTGAAGTCCCAGCAAAAGAAAAGGAGAGAACATCAGGGGCTAAGGTAACTTAGGTCCCACACAAAGGGCTCACACTGTGACTGTATTTACTCCTTTTACTTTGGAGGTAAGCTGGCCCTGGGGATAGCCCCATCCAAGACCAGCCCTTGCCCATCTGAGCTGAGCCAGGCCAACACTCCCATCTCTGCAGAGCTGTGAGTGACCCCTCCACCTCCTGGTCTGGGTGGTCCCTCTGTACCTTGGGTTCCTTCTTCTCATCTGTGGCTGGGCCCTCTGTTCGTGTCTCGTCATTTCCACTCTCCTCTGAGCCCATGGGAATAGAAAGGGACAGAGAATGTCTGATACACAAAAGTGTCTCTATAACACTTTTTTTTTTTTTAATAGTTTTTGGCTGGGGCTGGGTTTGAACCTACCACCTCCAACACAGGGACAGAGGGGGCCAGCCCCCTACTCCTTTGAGCCATAGGCGCCAGCCTCTTTTCTTTCTTTTTTTTGAGACCAAGTTTCACTCTGTTGCCCAGGCTAGAGTGAAATGGTGTCACCCTGGCTCATTGCAGCCTTGAACTCTTAGGCTCAAGTGATCCCTCCTGCCTCAGTTTCCCCAGTAGCTGGGACTATAAATGCATGCCACTATGACTGGCTGCTTTACACGTTTCTTTTTCTTTTTTGGGGGGTGGGGGGACAGAGTCTCAGTATGTAACCCTCAGTAGAGTGCCATGGTGTCACAGCTCACAGCAACCTCCAACTCGTGGGCTTAAGCAATTCTCTTGCCTCAGCCTCTCAAGTAGCTGGGACTACAGGTGCCTGCCACAACGCCTGGCTATCTTTTTGTTGCAGTTGTCATTGTTGCTTTAGTTGGCAGGGACTGGGTTTGAACACATCAGCCTCCGTGTATGTCCTGGTGCCCTACCCACTGAGCTATAGGTGCTGCCATTCTCTACACTTTTCTTTTCTTTTTTTTTTTTGTAGAGACAGAGTCTCATTTTGTTGCCCTTAGTAGAGAGCCGTAGCGTCACAGCTCACAGCAACCTCCAACTCCTGGGCTTACGTGATTCTCTTGCCTCACTCAGCCTCCCAAGTAGTTGGGACTACAGGTGCCCGCCCCAACGCCCGGCTATTTTTTGGTTGCAGCCATTGTTGTTTGGCGGGCCCAGGCTGGATTTGAACCCGCCAGCTCAGGTGTACGTGGCTGGCGCCTTAGCCGCTTGAGCCACAGGTGCGGAGCCTCTCTATACTTTTCTAACAGTCTCTCTACCAGTCAAAATTTCTGTGAGAAAACCAGTAGGGAGCAATGGCCCCTGAGACAAAGACCTGGGGAAAATTAAAAATACTAGTTCTCCCATTCATGTGTGCTCTGATGCCAATGCATGGCACAATGGCATAAAGGAGGCCAGGTGGCTCTGGCTTTTGGTGAAAGGGGAGAAATCTGGGGACTTGCCAGACCTTACCGATCCGCTCAGGCTCATCAGAGGTAGTTCCTGCAATGCCACTGCTTTCCAAACCAAAGGCTGGGTCTGCCTTGCCTGTCACTTTGGCTGCTTCTTCAACTTTCCGAACATGGGCCTCCACCAAGGCTGTGGGTACCTCTTCCTTCATTTTGGAGAACTCCTCTGCAAGACCCAGAGGGGATGAGGTTGGGAGTGGCCCAGAGGGGCAGTTCTGGCTATCCTTGTGAAAGCTTCTTCACAAGCCCATTTCTTCAGTGAAGACCAGTATGGAGTCTGAGCTGAGGCCAGCACAGACATGGCCAGTAGGATAGCCAAACTTGAAGGGGTTTCACGGTCCCAGGAATTAGTCCTTCAAACACAAACTAAGAAGGCCAAGAACCCCCCCATTACCTAGGGCTGACTTTGCAGCAGCAGAGGCGACTCGGGGATCGACGACAGAGGCCAGGAAGGCAACAGTGCTCATAACAGGGTTGCCTGACTGACTGAAGGGGATGGGCTGGTAGGCCAGCGGGCCCAGGGAGGCCTCTGAGTCCTCCAGGTACGGATCTTCAATGGGAAGTCGAAGAAAATGCAAGATGCACTCGTCCTGTGTGCGGCTTCCCACATGTTCGGACACTTTGTTCCAGTCATCTTTGTACATTTCCAGTGCCTGGTGGTAGTGGTGGAGACACAACTCCGCTTACTTAGCCACCTTCCTCGAAGGTCAACTCCCCCCATCCTACTAAGGGCAGCTGGCTTCAAAGCGCTCTGTGTTCTGGTTTTTGTGTACTCTGCTGGGTCCAATGGGGATCTTGAAGGAGCACTAAGAAAGGATATGAAGTTAATGAAATTGCCCAAGTCCCTGGCCTGGAGCTGTGTCCTGGCGCAGGTGCGACAGGCATCAGGAAGGGGAGAGACCAGGGCAGGATCATGCTCTGTTCACTGCAGACTCCACCGTCTCTCCCCACTCTCAAATGAGCTAGCGATGTAAGTATTTCTGTTTTCATAGAACTCTTTTCCTTGCCCCAATTACCTCAAGGAGCAGCAGGGTCTCCTGTTCTGTCCACTCTCGAGTGGCACTGGCTGCAGCTTTGCTCTGCAGGAGAAACACATGCCAGTTAGGTGAGAGGAGCTGGTGAGCCCTGAGGAATGAAGGTCTCCGTCCCTGAAGTTAGCTCACACCCTTACCTTGGAGGGGACATTCTTTTTCGTGTACATGTCTGTGCGCAGCCCAAAGTTCTGCATGTCTGCTGGTTTCTCCTTGCCTTTGTCAGGAAAGTTGAGCATTTGCTGGGAAGCAGAGGTCTGCTATTTGTGGAGGGAAAGAAAGAGTTGAGTACAGTGACCACTGGGAACCCGGAGCAGAGAGAGAGAAAACAGACAGAAGGAGCTTCCTTCCCAAAGCCAGGGGCAAGGGCCCCTGGGTGGGATTTCCTCCCTTACTGCTGTAGATCCTCTGCTCTCATGTCTCTTCTTCCCGGGCAGGGGCCCCCCAATAAAGGGGCAAATAAGAAGCCCAGCGGGGTCTGCACCCCACCTACCAGCTCTGGCTTGCCCTTAGCCGTCTCTGGCACCAGGTCATCCAGCTCTTTGCCCTTTCGCCCAGCCTTGGTATCAGCATCAACCTGGCGGCCCTGGGGGACAGAGCTTGGCGTCATGGAGGCTGGGCAGAAAATGACCAGGCCAAAGCCCTGGAGGCCTCAAGACCAAACACTGGGTGGCCCACAAGCTCTGGGGGCACTCATGCCACTGTTGCATATTCCCTTCATGACTAATTATACATGAAGTTGACATGATACCCGTTTGTTTTCACATACACCTTTACAGGTTCTCTTAGGAGCTGGACAATTAGGTTCTAATCCTAGATTTGGTACTCTCTGACCTTGGGCAAGCCACATAACCTTTCTCTTATTAACTTCTGTAATGGATGAAGTGGAAATGGAAAAAAATGGAGGTGACAATAATTATGAAGCAAAAATGAAAAAAAAGTGGGAAAGATGATAAAGTTTACAAATTTCATACAAGTTTATTTTAAGCCATTTTTCTCTGTTTGCTCCATCCCCTACATTAACCTGTCTGTTCTTTGAGGGCAAGGAGCATCCCCTTCTCCCTCAGCAAGTCCCCACAGCCTTAGGTGCAGAGGCTGAGATTAAACACATGGGGCTGATTCCTGTGGCCCTTTGCATCTCATGGAAAAGGAAGAAGCCTCAAAACACTCCTGATATATTACCCTAAAAAAATTAGAAAAAGAAAAGTCCAAAGAAGCCCAATCATTCCAACCCACCCCACCCCCACAGCACCTCACCCTACCTGCGGGGTCTTGGGCTGCAGAGGCACCAGCCCTGATGGTGTGTCAGCCAAGACATGGAAGTGAGAGGTGGGTGGAGGGCCCATTGGGGTTGGTCTACTCTCAGCATCCACCTGGTAGTTAATAAGACCCCACTGTTCTAGGAAGGCATGGACCCTGTGAGGATAGAGACAGAGGTCACACAAGACAGCAGAAAGGCGCCCCTTCTCCCTCTCCCCTGGCCCTCTTCTCTGCTCACTGTACATTTTGGGAAATCCTATCTACTCCCACTGTTCACCTACCACCTAAACACCCCTAGTCTATAGCTCCAGCCTGGCCCTCTCTCTGTATCTGCAAGTATCTTCCTCATTTATTTGTTACTTTGGATTAATATAAGGGCACCTACATTTGGGTTACATTGTTTGCACTTGTTAGGTAATATCTGAGTCCTTCACCCAGGAGGTGTGCCATTTATCCCTACATTGTACCCCTTAAGTGGGAGCTTCCCAAGCCCCTCTTTTTTTTTTTCTTTATTTTAATTTAATTTTTATTTTCTTTTGCAGTTTTTGGCCGGGGCTGAGTTTGAATCCACCACCTCCAGCATATGGGGCCAATGCCCGACTCCTTTGAGCCACAGGCACCACCCCCAAGCCCCTCTTAATTTTTTTCTGAGACAGAGTCTCCCTCTGTTGCCCCAGACTAGAGTGCCCTGGCATCAGCCTAGCTCACAGCAACCTAAAACTCCTAGATTCAAGCAATCCTCTAGCCTCAGCCTCCCGAGTAACTGAGACTACAGGACCCTACCACAATGCCTGGCTCATTTTCCTATTTTTAGTAAAGATGGGGGTCTCACTCTTGCTCAGACTGGTCTTGAACTTCTGAGCTCCAGCAATCTATCCACCTCAACATCCCAGAGTGTTAGAATTAGGGCATGAGCCACTGACCTCAGCCTGCAAGTGACGTTCAACTATCGGCATATTTCTTCTTTACTCTTTTTTTTTTTTTTTAAGAGACAGAGCCTCACGTTGTTGCCCTTGGTAGAGTGCTGTGGTGTCACAGCTCATAACAACCTCCAGCTCTTGGGCTTAGGTGATTCTCTTGCCTCAGCCTCCCAAGTAGCTGGGACTACAGAGCCCACAATGCCTGGCTATCCTTCTTTACTCTTCATTTCATACTTTGGAGAGCACACTGACATTCCCTCAAGCCACTCATTAGCCAACCCTATACCTTCCCTTTCATTAGACATGATTTTTTCCTGCCTATTCCTGTTTCTTGCTGGCATTTCTACTTCTGCCAAGACACAGCCATAGGTGGTCACCCTCATGTATCCACTACCCCTCAGCTCTAAGACCCACCTCATAATGGCACAGACATCACCTGCCAGATTCCGGCGGCAGGCGGTGGAGGTAAGATACTCCTGTGGGTTGAGCCGGTATGTATCAATCATGAAGTTTCGATAGGCCAGGTAGCTTAGAAGAGAGAGAGAGAAGAACAAGAGAAGAAAAAATAAATGCATGCTGAGGTCTGAAGGGTAGAAAAATGAAAAGAATGAATGACTCCTATGTGACAAAGATGGAAAAAGAGCAGATGATTAGACACAGTAAACACTGAGTGCTTGCTATGTGCTAGACACAAGGGGTTAAAACATGTCTTTTCCTTGATGATGTTGTTTTTCTTTTTTTGAGAGAGAGTCTCATTATGTTGCCCTCAGTAGAGTGCTGTGGCATCACAGCTCACAGCAACCTCAAACTCTTGGGCTTAAGCGATTCTCTTGCCTCAGCCTCCCAAGTAGCTGGG